CCACACAAATAGACAGGGCAGGGGAGTGGTCATGGTTTGTCAGTCTGGGCAATTGCACGCAGTGGTTGGGGACACCCAGGATTCACATTCAGAAACTTCTTACTCGGGCTACTGTGCACGTTAATTTGCCTTATTTAAGTCTCAGTTGCCCATCTGTCAAAGGCTATCATCACAGCACCGAATTCACGGGACTGATGTGAAAGGTAAATGAGATCACATAGGGGGAGTCCTGAGCACAATGCCTGGCACATAAGCACTCCATAAATAACAGGTATGACAGGATGACTGCTATCATTGAGACCGAGGCTCCCACTAAGGATTCACGTGGTAGAAAAGGTAGCACTGACATAAAAAATACATGAAAGGACACATGGGGATGGCTTCTTTGTGACAACAGCCTAGATTTTTGGAATCAAATTTGTGTTTGCATTCTAACCCTGCCACTTACTAGCTGTGTGACTTGAGGCAAGTCATCTAATTTGTCTGAGGTTAATCGTTTTGCTGTGTTGCTAATATCTTCATTCCCAAAAAATGTATTATGTGCCTGCCTGCTACATTCCAGGCATCGTCCTAGGTGTTGGAGATAAAGAGACTAGCAAAAGATGCTGTCCTTGTGCTCACAGTATAGCTGGAGAGACAGAAGGGATGATTCTAATTGGGAAAACTAAGTTCTGGCAAAGCTAAGTCTGAGACCCAAGTCCAGGTTAATTCTGATTTATGCTGGAAAGAAATCTCCTGCCTCGATGTAGCCATTAGCTCATTCCCTCCTTTTTAAAGGCAAAAATAGAACTTAGTACACAGTTCCCACTTTTTTACAGTAGTGGAGCTTTAGAAACTTTTTTGGAAAGTAGAATGGTGAAAATTGGATCTTTTTTAATTCCCACGGGCTGAGCAATCTGCATGTGGATGCTTCCCATCATGAAAGACTGTGGAGTGGGAGGTCAAGACATAGTAGCAGCCCAGCGGCTCCTTCAATAATTTGCTCGGGTCCTCGGGGGCGCCTGGGTGGCTCAGTCCTTAAGCGCCTGCCTTCGGCTCAGGTCGTGATCCCGGGGTCCTGGGATCGAGTCCCGCATTGGGCTCCCTGCTCCTTGGGAGCCTGCTTCTCCCTCTGCTTCTCTCTCTCTCTTTCTCCCTTTGTCTCTCATGAATAAATAAATAAAATCTTAAAAAAAAATAATAATTTGCTTGGGTCCTCATTTTCCCCTCTGTAATGTAGGGATAATAACAGTAAGTACTTCATAGAGTTAGCGTGAGTGTTAAGTGAATTAATTTGTGTAAAATGCTTAGGACAGTGTCTGGCACATAGTGTGCATTCAAAGTATGTTAGCTATTATCATTTTGTAAGTGATGATCTTAACAAAGACAAGGCAAAATGTATTCCTCAGCCTAGATACGGACCACCAGAAACTGTTGAATGGGTGGATCAAAGCAACAAAAACGTCAACTAGAAATCAGGTTTAGAATGAGTAAATTTGCAAAACGTCAGGACCAAAAAAAGGAGAAACTTACTGACACAGCTAAAATTCAACGTTAAACAGACCTATCACAATGGCCTGAAATGTAGTATCTGCACCATAAATATTGGTTGATTTATTAAATACTTGCTTTACAAAACAAAAGTCCAAGGAAGTGCTTTGTTTACTAAATTATTTTCCTTTCCTTCCTCTGAAGAGTTGAAAAGAGAGAGCCGGTGGCTTTCCATGTCTCCTATTGGGGCTTGAGCCCACACCTCCTGCGTGGTAGTGAGGCAGCGCTCCAGTTTCACCTGGTGTGAGAGCCCCCAAGCTCCTGGGCTGCAGGTTGTAACTTGCGTCTCAGTCCTTTCTCTCAGGCCTATCTCAGGAAAACTTTCCAGGGGAAGATAAAGACATTTCTGGTCTCAGGCTCTCTGCTCTGAGAATCCGCCCTCCTTGTCTTTATTGCAGAAGTCGAAAGAGAGAAGTTAGTGTGAATAGAAGTCAGAAGGGAGAATGGCCCATGAGGGGTTTTCTCTACAGTCTCTTGGGAAGCTACTATCATTTTCTCCCAATCAAATGTTTCCAGGACAATTTGTCTGATTTTGGAACTTTAGAGCAAGTCCTCACCTCTTCTCTATTACTCTCTCCCCCCACCCCCACTTCAACTCCTCAGGGGCTTTCTTCTCTCTGAAATTTGAGCTTAAATTTAAACACAATGTTCCCCCGGAAACTGTGCATCATTCTCTTTTTCTGGCCTCTGTTTAAAAAGCTAGATTCAAGCTATCATCACACCATGCCTTTTAAAACCATTTGCCAGGTTATAAAAGAGATATAAACGGAAAAATGCTGCCCAGGAACTTTGACACATTGCAAACCCTTATTTGTTATAATCTGAATGTGGTAAGATGGTTATTAGGAAGTACGTTTAAGACCAGAGTACCCAGCTCTGATAAAGGGGACATGACAAAAATTTTTTCAATGTTAAATAAAAGCAAAAGGACAGTAGTGGGGTTTTTCATCAAGCAAACAATTTCAATATAAAAATGTATCCTTTGTGGCCCTTTTCTTTTCTTAAAAGAATGATAGGGACTGTAGATAGCAATTATGTGCATTAGTTTTTAAGAAATTTACTTGGTAAAATTAAAAAGCTGCCAATCCTAAATTGGTTCTCTTTATTTGTTTACCTTATTGGGCTGTGAAAATCAAAAGATTTACTGTATTCATATCTACTCCCTCTGCAGCTGAGAAAGCCCTCTGAAACCTCAGAGAAAGTGCCCCTGTGAAATAAATTCCCTTCTTTTATTTATTTAAAAAAATACTTTTTTAAATTTATTTAAGAGAGAGAGAATGAGCACGAGCAGGGGAGCGGGGGGAGGGGGGGGGGGGGGGGGGGGGGGGGGGGGGGTGGAGAGAGAATCTGAAACGGACTCCATGCTGAGCATGGAGCCCAACTCAGGGCTCCAGCTCATGACCCTGAGATCATGACCTGAGTCGAAATCAGGAGTCAGTCACTTAACCGACTGAGCCCCTCAGGCGCCCCAATTCCCTTCTTTTAAAGAGGGCATTCTGGCATAGCTTTTTCTATTTTTAACCTTTTTTTATTTTTTATTTTTATTTATTTTTTATTTTTTAAAGATTTTATTTATTTATTTGAGAGAGAGAGAGAGAATGAGAGATAGAAAGCACGAGAGGGAAGAGGGTCAGAGGGAGAAGCAGACTCCCTGCTGAGCAGGGAGCCCGATGTGGGACTCGATCCCGGGACTCCAGGATCATGACCTGAGCCGAAGGCAGTCGCTTAACCAACTGAGCCACCCAGGTGCCCCTAACCTTTTTTTAAAAAAAAATTGTGGTAAAATACACATAACATAAATTTACCACTTAAACCACTTTTAAGTGTACAGTGGCATTAAGTACATTCACACTGTTGTGCGACCATCACCACTATCCATCTCCAGAACTTTTTTATCTTCCCAAACAACCATTAAATACGAACTCCCCATTTCCCCTCCCCTCATCCCTGACAACCACCACCATTCTACTTGGTCTCTCTGAATTTCATTATTCTAGGTATCTCATCTACATGAAACCATACAGTGTTTTTGTGTGTGGTGTCTGGCTTATTTCAATGAGCACAAGGTCTTCAATGTTCATCTATGTGTGGTATGAGAATGACATTCCTCTTAAAGGTGCTTTTAACCTTTTTGACAATTCCTATTTGTTTTGAAGTTCTTTCAACTAATTGGGTGGTTGGTAAAAGGACAAGTCTTGCTGGCTTTCTGTATTGACTCATCTGTAAAATAGTTCTGAGTTTTGTACTATCATTTAAACCTATCCAAGTAGGCATCACAAACCTATGGGATCCAGGCACACGAGTGGTAAAGCAGAGTGGAGGGGGGTCAATGGCAAAACGGAGAACCTTGCCTCCCATGAAGGTGGCCACTACCACCCAGTTCGAACCCACCATTCCTAATGGGTAATGTAGACCCAGAATACAACGGACAAGTCTTCTAATTTTCATGCATTGGGCAGTACTGTTGTGCCAAATGGAACGTATTTGCAAGCCAGATCTGGCCCACAGGCCACCAGTTCGCAGTCTCTGCATGGGCTAATAAGCAGCTAATTTTAGTGCGGCTTCATGCATTCATTCATTCATTCATTCACGCAGTAAATGTGTACTGGGTCTCTACTAAAGGCTAGGCTACACATACAAGATATGGTTTAAAAAATACATGATAAGAGAGCAAATAATAGCAGCATAAATGCTATAACAAAGCGAAAATAATTACGACTTACATTTATTGAGCACTTCCTATGTGCCAGGGAGTTTTTAAGAACTTTACATGTATTAACTCACTTAAGTCTTGAAACAATCCTACGAAATAGGCATAAAGTGTTTCCATTTTAATTATGAAAACACAAACCTTAAGCGGTCAAATCACTTGTCCGTGGTCACATCGCTGTAAAGTGCTGACGTGGGATTTGAATTCAGATTGGTTCAGGAGCCCACGGTCTTGACTGGAAGGGGTTCAGAGGGCGGGGTCGTATAGAGTTAACCTGTGGCTCTATGAAGACTTCCAGAAAGGTTAACGTTTGCCTTGTCTTGAAGGATGATTTCGGCAAACTAATCCGGGAGTGCAATACAGGCCGAGGAAGTTGAGCCAGGGATCATACTTTAAGGTTGGCAGGAAATGAGTCTGAAGAGGTCGCTCTCAGTGTCTCCAATGCCACCTATTCAACTCTTTGTTTTCAGGTGCGATATCAGCTTAGCGAAGACTTATGTTTCAGTAGTAGCTGTGAGAAGAGAATGGTGTAGAAGCACAGGGGCATTTACACGTTCCGCACAGCGAAGCGCGCCTGATTTCTCCCGCCAGAGCCCCTCCGCGGCTGTCCTGCCCTAGACCACCTTCAGGGACTACAAGTCCCGTCATGCAGTCCCGTCATGCAGCGAGGACGCGCCGGGAGCCCGGCGACCTGCCCCGCCCCGCCCAGGCTCCGCCCCCGCCCCGCCCCTCCCGCCAGCAGCCCCCTCCCGCCCGGCCAGCCCCGAAGAGTTGCCCGGTGGCCGCGGCAGACGGAAGCCGAGGGAGAGTCTCGGCGGCAGCAGGATGGGGGACTCCAAAGTGAAAGTGGCCGTGCGGATCCGGCCTATGAACCGGAGAGGTGAGAGCCGAGCCCGCCCGGGGCCGCCACGGTGGAGCGGCAGGTGCCTGGCGCGCCCTTCCCTCAGCCGCGGCCGCCGTGTGGGGTCCGACCGGTCCCGCCCCTGCAGTCCGCGTCTAGGCGAGAGAGCTGCCGGCGCGCCCCGAAACCTCGTCCCCCGCGCCCGCCAGTCCTGCGCGGGGACGCCCCTCCCCTCGCCCGCACCGCGTCCCAGGCGCCCCGGGCCCCACGTCCCGGTCCGCTGCCCCTTCCGCCGGCGCTCCCGCCCCGCCCCGGCGCCCTTTCGCCCTCTCGCCTCCCCTGCCCTTGCAGGAGGGCGCTCTGGTCCCTTGCCCCGGGCTCGCTTCCTCCTCCCCCCACCCCTGCCCCTCGCTCGTGCCCCGCCGCGTCCCCCGCTTTCTCCTTGCCAGCTGTCAGAGTGGCCCCCGCCCCTCGTGTCCTCACCCCTCCAGCCTGCCCGGGACAGCCAGGGACTCCGAGGCCCCACGTCTCTGGCCCAGTCACCCCAGCCCTGCACTTCTGTGGTCCGTGGCAGGAAGAAATGGCAGGGAATTTGGTTTACTCCTGAGAAAGCACTCAAGTGCAAAAATTCCTCGTCTGCGTTTTTCACTTTATGTACGTTTAGCCTGGACGGTCATAAAGAATTGTAAAGACTTTGATTGAAATTGGGTAAAAGAGATGCCCTTCCACTCTTTTTTTGACTGTTGAGATAGTTTTGTTTTTGCTTGCAGTCATATTCGTCATCTCTCGACAATAAATAGTTTAAGTGCCAGGATTCTTGTGAAATTGTATCTTTCAGACATTCTCTCAATTCTGCAGGGAGGGTAGAGAAAGCAGATAAACCGAGTACATTTTAAATCATCTTTAGTCAGTCAAATGGAGTGAGGAGAACCCCCAACTCAAGTACCAAGAGGAGGTGGGCTGGGCCTTGGCTTTCATGCTTAAGTGGCAGCGTGACTGGGCAAGTAACTTGAAATGAGATAATATATTTGAAAACACTTTCTATACAAGGCTGTTATTGAGATTACTGTTACAATCCCAGCAGATGACTTTTCAATTGATAAGACTCTTAACTAATCAAAATCTTGTATCAGAATCACTTCTAAGACGTTTTTGCAACTTGTTCATAATCAAGTGTTAAGTCTGTAGAAATTATGAGTTTTCCTTTTCTGTGTTGTCATTTGTGTATATTGAGATATACAGATCAACCAGTTGGCAGTATGTTTTGTTGGGTTGTCCTTCTTTTGGAAGTTGGTTTATTTCTCTTAGAGTCATCTCTTCTATTGGAGTTGGTGATTCCTCCTTTCCCTGCTAGGTCAGCTTAAGGCTGTCACGTGACATAGAAGAGTTCCTCCTTCCCGCGGCCCGCCCCCCCCCCCCATGAACTTAAACTAGTACACGTTTTGGGGCTTCAGTCTTTCCTTTGACAAAATTAGAGATCTTAGATAAACTCCGAAAGTTTTCAGAAACTTCTGTTCTTAAGTGCTCAGGCATCTTTATTCAACTTTATTACCATCACAGTGATTAAAAAAAACAGGAAAAAGCAAGCCACATAAAACAACTTTATCTGGATTTGATTCTGAAAGGATGATTTCAGCACATTCTTAAAATTGCCTTTTCACAAAAAACTTGGAAATGTCGGTGCTAAAAAGATGCAGCTAACCAACCATCACAAAAGACCTATCTCAGATAATTAGAATCCTTCCCTGTTCCCCTCCACCCATGAATTTCAGTTTTTGAGGGCAAGTACTATTGTTATAAATTGTCATTAGTTAGATTGTAATAATTGGTAGGATCAGAGTTTCCAGGGACACACAGAGTAATAATAATTTTAGCTGTGCAGTGGATGTTAGTTGTTCCTTTGGTTGAACTCATTTCAAAACTAAGGTTTATACATGGATCCATTGCTCTATTAATAGAAGTGCCTTATAATGGTAAACTGCTTCCCCCTTCATTGAGTGCCATCTCTTACCTAGCCTTGTATTTCCCAGATGCATATGGACTTCTTTTTGCTGTGATTACCACAATAATTAAGGTTTTTGGTTCTATTTTGTCATGAAGTTGTCATTTACATAAATCTAGAAGTAATGGAATACATGTGGAATTCTAAAGCTAATGATTTTTTTCTTTTTTTTAAGATTTCATTTTTAAGTAATCTCCACACCCAGCATGGAGTTTGAACTTACCACGCCCAGATCAAGTGTTGCATGCTCCGCTGATTGAGCTAGCCAGGCTCCCCTAAAGCCAGTGATTTTCAGACTGCTGTCTGGAATTTGTTTAAAAAGACTAAAATAGAAATGTATTTTCTTTCCAGTAATTTTGAAAAGAATCATATTACTTTGACTAATCATTACTTCTGGGAAAATTAGTGTATTAAGTAAGTAGTAGTGTATAATTATGACAAATAGTAAACTTTTAGTCATAATTATTTCTCTTTTAGCATATCAGTTCAGGATGCAACCTCAGAAATCACTCTTCACAAGCAAGAATGAGAAGAGAATGGGTTACCAGGATGATGAAGTTTTGCTGTATAGATTCTGATATTTGGAATTATATTGGCTACTTTTTGAGGAAAACTGAAATTTGCAAGAAGCTTCTAGCATACCATTAAGTTCTTCGTGTGATTCAGTATCTGTGCTAAGGTGTTAAGGTAGTTAGTTGGTTTCTTATTTAACATTTATTATGGAAGTAAGAGTTTCAGTCTTTTTTGCTAAATTATATGTGGGTTTGGGAAACATAGTTATTTCAACATTAAGCATTATGCCCTAGTTCAATAATAGCAAGAATTATAACGGCTACTGAATATGCTTTTGTCAGTAATATTTTTTTGTTATATATTTTAACATTGCAGTAACAAAACAAAACATAAAAAGGAAAAAGTCTACGACATCCTTCCATTTTAACAATTCACGCTCTCATTTTCTTATTTCCATTCTAGTTTGTGCTCACATGCATATGTAAGTTTACCTTCTTTTAATATTACAACTTCTGTTTTTGCTTTTCTTCATCTGAAATGTGTCCTTAAGCTGAAGGAAAGCTGTTAACTTGATTTGTCATGAGATCTTGAAGTTCTTGTTGCAGATATTGTTTGGTTTTTCATGTTATTTTTCAGACTTGGACAACTCACCAGGTAACTCTGGTTGTGTTTTTCTATATACTGTAAGGAACACCCATTCATAATTATTAGCTAGTTTAATTATTGAATGAACTGAAAGGTTTACAAGCATAATCGATGGTACTAGCTAGATCAGTGACACTCTCCTGTTAAGGAATTTGAAGTTTTATAACTTCAGATGGTTTAAAAAATACTTCATATTTACTGAGTGCCTGCGAGGTGTCTAGCTTATATTAGATATTACAGGATCATATTGCCTTTCTGCAGAGGACTTCCCATGGTTAAATATGTATAAGATCAACTGCCAAAATAAATACATTTACATCAAAAGGGTTTGGAAAATACCTTTCCTATCTACCTAGCCTAAGGTAGTGAAACCAAGAATTACATTAGATATTTAGTTGGAGAGAAAAATAGTGAAATGGGTTGTTAGGGAAAATGGATAATAAATATATTTCAACAGGTATTTCTCAAGGGATTACTTTGCATTTTATAGTACTTGATGCAGTGAAAGCATAAAGAAAGAAGAATATACCGTTTGATAGAAGTCAGTGCTTAAGTAAATCATCGTCTAGAATCTCAGTGGAAGGATTGTTATGTAGATATTAAAAATGATGAAAATCAGCATTATTTACCAAGGAAGACAGTCTCCTATGTTAGCAGAAAAAGCAGAATGGAAAGCAGTATGTACAACTGTACAGTTGGATCTGTTGTTATGATTCTTACTGTGTAAAAATGTCAACAGAAATGGGCAAGGGCTAGAAAGAACATGAAAAAATGAGATTGCTTGTTCCTGTTGGGAGACTCCTATGTCCTGAAAACTCTCGCTTAGTGTTGACTGCTATTGTAGTGTTCAGCTTTTTAAAGTGTGCTTTATGTTTCATGCTCATGAGGAAATGGCTCTCCTGTGAAAAGATAAGATTAAAAGGTAAACAAACACCTATCGCAGATTGCCAGGTGAGTGATCGGGAAATACAGGAATTCAGAGGAGTGAAGGATCCCTGGAAGCCTGGTGATCAGGGAAGGCTTCTCTGGGGAGGGAGAGCCTTGGTTAGATGTGGGGGGAGGAAGCTTATGATCAGAATGGGTGCCTGGTAGCAGGCGAGGGGAGAGCGTTGGGTCTTTGGGGAGGAAGTATGGCCTGAGAGCAAAGGCACAGAGACAGGAATGAACCAGGCAAGTTTAGGTGGCAGAGACAAGAAAAGCCTGCCAGAAAGGAGGGTTCTGTGAGCTTGACTAGAGAAGGATGAGATTAGAAAGGTAGCATGGAATTGCAGGGAGCCCTGAGTGCTATCTAGGCCCAAAAGTCTGGGTTAGGGTGGCTGGTCCACGTGCTCTGTTTAGCTCTGTAGAACTTTGCATGGATCTCAGACACAAGCATGAAGGAGGAAGATTGCCAGGTCTTAGAGCAGGATCAAAAGCCTGGGTAGATGCCTGATTCAGGGCATAGCTGGGTAACATTTAAGAGCGGGTGGTGAATGTAATGTATGGTGATTAAGATAACAATAAAAAATTATTAAAAAAAAGAGCGGGTGGTGAAAATGAAGCCATGTGAATAGGAAGAATCAGGAGGCTGGTCAAACTTAAGTAAGCAGTCAGGACTCAGAAGACAAGGTGAGACTGAAGAAGTAGGAAGCTGAGAAAACACACTGGCAGTCTGTGAAGACACAGGTGATCTTTAGGAAATGAAGGGGCTAGGTAGCAAGGAGATTCTGAAACAGGAAGGTGGTTTTGACCCTGAGGTCATTGGTGGTCTCAGAGGGATAACTGATATTGGAGTCGAGGATGGCTGTGGATGGAAATTTCTGACATACTTTCTAAAACAGAAGATCCTTGTTTTCTAGCATCTGCTTGATATGCTAATGGAGAATGAGACACACATCTA